AATATTTGTATAATTATGTATGCAATTCTCTTAATAAAGGATTTTGGCAAGGCTGCCAAAGAGTTAAAAAAAAAAAATAATAATAATAATAATTATATAGTATAACTAGTAGGTTATAAAACATATATATAAGTATGGCATTATACAGAAGAATGCAAACTAGTATTGAATAGTACAAATTCTAGATAAGTTCTTGTAGTTATATAAATTTATTAAAATTAAAAAACAAAAAGTCCTTTTAAAAGACTTAAGTAAAAAGATAATACAGATCTTTAATAATACTATTGTAAAGACTAGTCTTATAAAATAAATACCAATATTGAAATACTTAGATAAGCCAAAATCTCAAAGTTAAAGTCTTAAAGATATTACCAACTAGGTTACTAGAATGAACTAAAAGAAAAGAATATTAGACCAACTTAATATATCAATAAACTAGTTATAGTTTTACTAAACTATCTAAATTAGAAATCTGAAGAACAGGCAAATATATACTAAAATATTTTAGATATATTGTAAAATAAATGCTAAAATTTGAATAAAGCTTATTAGAACATAATAGTTTAATGGCTAGCTCTAATTGCAAATATTGGTTCTGTTATAATGATACTGAGTCAGTTGTAAAAATATATACAGAAGGTTCTAAAAGGTTTAATTTAAGAATAAAATAGCTTTAAAATTAAAATAATAACATAAGTAAAATCTAATAATGTTAATACAAATGTAGATTCAAAGAATTTAAAATAAAATACTTAAACAGAGAGGTTAGATACAGTAATTAGTAAAAAACTTTCAGGCATACTTTTTAAATAGGTATTTAGAAAAGTTATATATGTAGCCAATTGTACACTCTTTCTGTAATTGTTTATAGAATCACATTATCAAAAAAATCATTAATAAAAGTTAAAAAACTAAAGAGATCACTTTAATATTAAAAAATAAATAAATACCAAAGTAAATATATAACTAGTTGTATTTATTTAAAATTATTTTCTAAAAACAAGAATTTTAATATTAAAAATAATAAAAAATAATAATAATTTTTTTAAAAATAAAAATTATTAAGTTTTTAATTATTTTATACAAATATATTGTAATATATTTTATAAAATTTAAAATAATATAAATTTAAAATAATTATAATTAAAATTATATTAAAATTTAAAAATAATTATATATATAATGAACAACTTATACAACTCTCTTTACTGATTACTTATACACAAAATTGTAAAAAACTATTTTAAAAGTTTGCTAAAAAATGACTGTTAAGTATACATTATTGGGCAAAAATTGTTGTATAACGGCAATTTGCCCAATAATGGTGTTATCCGGCAATTTATGATCATGGCACGATCAACTCCTGGCCAATAAATACTTCGATCTAAAAAAAAAAAGATAAATCAGTAAAAAAAAACAAATTACTGTACACTCTTTAAAGCGAAAAACAAAATTTTTTTAAGGCACTCGTATTCTTAAAATATTTTCTTGTTTCTTGTGCTTTTTTTTCACCTCAAATATTTTTCTGTTGTGCTGGAAGTTCAGGGTCGTCAAAAGGTTCTAATCTGTGAAATTTGGAGGTTGCCAGTTTGAAGGTTGGCCATAGGAATTTGGCACTGCTTAAAGGTTTCAAAAGTACAACACATGCCGGAAGCCTAATAAGAGTCCATTACAAGCCTAATAAGAGTTCATTACAAGATTATGAAGAAAAAAAAACATTTAAAGGCTTTTTTTACAATGTCCAAATCCAAATCTGTCATTACGAAGGTGAATAAAGCCAAGGTAATTTTTAATTCTAATTTGTCTGTATTGTACTAGCTTCTAAAAAAGACTTGCTAACATATTTTTCTAGCAAGTTAAGTATATAGAACCATCGACAGAGGAACTTGACACAATCCGAGAAAATGCAAAAGTGAAAGCCACCCATAAGGCTACACAACAGTGAATAAATCTATTAGAAGAATTCCGTTCTGATGTCGGATTTGAAGGCAAAATTGAGGAAGTGAGTTCCAAGAAGGTCCTAGAAGACCAATTGTCTAAGTTTATCTGTGCAATGAAGCGACGTGATGGTGGTGAATACCATGCTAGCTCAGTAAGAAGTTGCTTGGCGGCAATTTGGCGTTACCTTAATCAGCACTCCGTTATGGAGAAACCAGTCGACATACTCAATCCGAAAGTGTACTTCGATTTAAATCAAGTTATTAATAGAAAACTGAAAAATCTTTCTGCGAAAGGCTTTGGTGAAAAAACAGGGGCAGATGGACTAACCATGAATGAGGTCGAACAGATTCTTGACCACCCTATGATGCAACGCAATAGCCCAGATGGCTTGTTACAGCGGATTTTTTTTTTTAATTCAATTTTATTAGCATTACGAGGGGGTAAACATATAAGCCTTGAAATTAACAATTTTATTAAAAGATATGATAGAGGAATCGATGTTAAATTGTATCGGTCCAAGACCAACCAGTGAGGGCTTGAGGATTATGATGCACAAGCGGAAGTAATCAGCTTGCCAAATATCAAAGATATTATCGATGATTATGAATTTTATTTAAGTAAACGTCCAGTAACTGCAGTAACTAATTTTTATTTGAAACCTTTTACTACGAATTCAGGTAAAGTATTTATTGTGTTTTTTTTTTTTTTCCCTTAAATATATTAATTTTTTTTAAGTTCAATTTAATGGACAATGGTATTACGGACGTGCATTTGGAGAACGAACATTGAGAGGTTACTTGCGTACTATATGTGAAACTGTAGGTATTCAGATCGGCACTCGTAACATTTCAAATCATTCGGGAAGAAAAACTGCAGTTCAACTACTAAAGGAACTTGGGTATTCTGATTCTGTCGTAATGTCGATTACAAGACACAAGTCTCAAAAAGGTTTAGCTGCATATGAAAGACCAAAATCAGTAATGCAAAGGGAAGGAATTAATGGATTTTTTAATGCATTAATGCAGGTTTCGAATAAAGCATTGGAAGGTACAATTTATATATTATTATTTTTTATATTTAATTGTTTTTTTGAATATTTAATTAATTATTGTTTTATCCAGATGATGCCTCCGAAGCAAGTGTCGATGCTATTCCTAAAGCTACTGTCAATGTCGCCCGCAAGGAAAATATCACCCCCAAGGAAAGTGTCGCCCCCAAGAAAAATATCGTCCCTGATAAAAGTGGTGCCCCTAAGGAAAATGGCATCTTCAAGGATTTTATTCCTGCAAGTTTATACGTTCAACGTGCTGATTCGCAAGCATCACTAGTGAATGCATTTGATGACCTTGATGTATCTTCTCAGAATTGTGTTTCTTGTACTGCGCTAGTTGAATGTAGTCATAATATTTTAGAAAGCGATACTCAAAAAGAGACAGGTACGAATGCTGAAAAGGATGAAAAAAAGTTACAAAATAAAGAATTTATTGAAAAATTCATGACAGGAAATACATTCTATAATTGTATCTTTAATTTTTAATTAGTATCTTTGTGCAAAATAAATTAAGCAATTGAAATATTACTACGTAATAGTAATAGTATAAAAATGGTAAAATTTATTGGACAAAATTTAGTTATTAGTTGTTACGTCATAACTGTCTAAAAAATAATGTGCAAAAACTGCGCCATGATCATATGTGTTTGCCAGATAACACTAATATTACAAGTCTAAGAAAAAAGATAGAACTTGTAAAGAAAGTATAACAAGAATTAAAAATAGAAAATTAAAAAAACTTAGTAAAAGAAATAGAGAGGAAAAACATCTTAGTTGACATTTTAAAAAGTAAAATTTGAGAAATTTTCTATAATCTGAAAATGCAGATCTGTAGATCATAGCAACACATAAATAGACAAACAAAACAAACACATGTATTAATAGATGTGCAAATAAGTTCAATTTAAATAGTGATAAATATAAGATATAAAAAATTCAAGAACAACAAATAACAAATAGGAGCTACTAATAATTAGACAAAATATGAGTAGTATACAAAATTGAAAAGAAAGCCTAAAGTTGACTTATATCAAAAGAGCATATTGGGTAGCAAATAGTATATACAAAAAGGTGTTTTTAAACCAAGCTAGTAAAACCTTTGCAATACCAGACAGAAAAGATAAAATAGTTACTATACTAGCAAAACAAAATGTATTAGAAGTTGCTTTGCTATATATAACTAAAAAAATAATTAAGAAAGCAGAAAAAGAGCAGTCAAAAAAGAAAATCAATATCATCAAACAAACCAAAAATATTATAATAAAAGAACTTATAATAAAACAAATACAAAACAAAAGAAAAGAGATACAACAACAGTCAACAGAATTAAACAGAAATTAAAAAGAAGTATACAAAATAATACAAGAAAAAATAACAGAAAATAAAAAGATAATTGAAATAAAAGTACAGAACAATATTGAAAGTATACAAAAAAAAGTAAGTATAAAGATAAGTTAAATAAACAATAATTAAAAAAGAGGAAATTCATCTATTCAAAAAAAATACAGAACAAAAATAAGAGCAAAAACAAGAAGACATCAAACCAGAAATTGAAAAAGAAATTGACATAGTTGAAGAATCTTTAAAAAAGAGCATATAGGTTTCAAGCAAGAAAAATTATAACCAAAACAACAGTTTACTTGCTAATATACTAGCATATAACATACTCAGAAAAACAAAAGAAAAGCATATAAAATTTATTAGATAATTACTAAGAAACAATATATATGTTAAAGACATTAGAGAAGTTTTTAAAAGAAGAAACTTATGAATAAAAGTAGATTTTGATTGTGAATATGGCAGAAATAAAGCAATATAAAGAATTAGCAAAATAGTACAGAATGATAATTAAAGAAAAAAAAGGCAGTATAAAGAAACAGATACAACATAATAAGAAATATTAAAAGAAAAGTAACAGCAAATTAATAACCAAAGAAAAAAAATATGAATGTGAGAAGAATGAAATTAAGACAAATAAAAACTAATATAAAACAAATGAAGAACTAGAAAACATAAGTTATTTAACAATTTGTGACTTATCGACAGACATAAACAAAAAAGAATTAGAATATATCTGTAGAAAATTTAAAAAAGCCCACATAGTAAAAATTAAAAGATTAAAATATAAGGTTTTAGCTGTAATTAAACAAAGAAACATATAAAAGCATCCTATAGGTTATACCAGTAAATAATAACAAACTGATATAAATAACTAAAGGAATAGAGAACCATAAAGTTAGAAAAATACAAATAAAATATATAGCAAAACTAACAGAACTACTAAGAAGTATCTTAGAAGTTCTACTATTATAAAGTTTAAAGAACAAAGAAGTTAAATATGTTTATATACCTTCAAATAGAAATAAAAACCAAAAAAGAATAGTAACAGTCATGTTTGTAATAAAAGAAGATATAAAATTAGCTTAATTAAAACTATTCATATATAACAATTTCTGACTATATTAAATAAAAAAAAAAAAAAAAAAAAATGAAACAAGTGAAAAGCTTTAAGAAAAAAAAAAAAGAAGCTAGAAAAGATTTAACAAAATCTTTAATACAAAAGAAAACAATAGCAAAAAAAAAGAACAAAAATTTAAATTAAATATAAACAAAAATAAGAAAAAGAAAAGATGAAAAATAAAAGATGAAAAATAAAAGATCAAACAGCAATAAGCAGAAGCAGCATACAAGAACAAATTGCAAAAAATGAAACAAGATATATAAACTTATTTAAAGAAAAGAAAAGACTATATAAAAGAAAAATAGTTAAAACTAAAACCCAAACACAAGAAGAACTTTATATACAATTTAAGTCAAATTTTAGAAAAACTTAAAAGATTAGAAGAGACAAAAAGTATAGCATAAGAGAGTTTAGCCTATTACTTCTAAGAGTGCTCAGTTAAATTTATGAGCATAAACCAGAAAATTGGAGAGTTTCTGCATAAAAAAAAAAGAATATTTAAAAAAGGCAATATAGAAACATTTTTTGACTATAAAAAAGAAATAAAGAAAAAAAAAAAACAGACAGAAGTTATAGAAACAAGAAACAAATAGTTAGAACAAAATAAAAACAAGAAAAAAAGAAAATAAAAATAGCATATCACAACATTAATGGACTTAAAACTAAAGAATAAAAATTAGAAAACCTTATTTAATGAGCAAAAAAAGAAGAAATTACAATACTAAAGATTACAGAAATGAATTTTACAGAAGAAAAGAAAAATTTTTAACATATATTGCAAATAAGAATTATATAAGTTTTTGGTCAAGTGCATCAAAAGACAAAAAAAAAAGATCTGGTATATGTATTTGGGTTAATAAATAATAGAAAAACATGTGATTATAGTTAAAAAGATAAATAAATATATAATAGAGCTTATACTATATTTTAAGCAATTGGAATTAGTAATTTTAGAAGTTTAAATACCACTAAATAACAAGACAATAGGAAAAAGCATTTAACAAAAAATAGTAGAAATAGTTGCTAAAAGAAAAAAGTATATACAAATAGTTATTTTAAATAATTTTAACTATATAAAAAATAACATATTGGACAGTCAATACCTACAAGCAGCAAATTTTAAAAAATTATCTATCTTTAATTAGATAAAGAAACAAAACTTTAGTAATATTTATAGAGATATGTATTTAATAAGCTAAGAGTATACATAGTTAAATGAAGAAATTGCAACAAAAATAACTATATATGAGTGTTAGAAGAACTGGTCTTAGGTCTACAGAAGGCAGAAATTGAAGAAACAAAAGAAATTATTAAAAGTGATCATAAGATAATAAAATCAAAAATATGATTTAAATACATAACAGCAAAGAATAGCAAAGCTAAGGTTAAAAGAAATAGACAATTAAGAACAGTATACTTATATGATCAGACAAAAGAAGAAAACTGAGAAAAGTATATACAAAAGTTGCAGAAATGATTAAAATTCAAAGAAGTACTAAAAAGAATATAAAGAAAAGAACAAGGCAAGAAAAAGTGAACAGAATAAATAGCATATTGGATGTAATAGAAGAAGCAATTATTATAGCAGCAAGTAAGCATTTATCTAAAAAAAAAATATATATAACATAGTGACAAATAGAAGAAGCAGTTAAAGAAAACAATATCAAGAGAAAAATATTGTAAAGCTATAAAGATTAATTAAATATATGAAAACAAGAGAAGACCAAGAAGTAACAGAAAAAAAAAGAATCAAAACAAATAAAAAATTATGAATATCAGGAGAAAAAGAAGGTGCAAAGCTACTAAAACTACATAAACAATAGTCAAGTACTTGAATAGAAGACATGAAAGAGTGACAAAAATTATTATAAAAGAGAAAGAAGAAAGAATAATAACAAAGTCAAAGAAAATAAATAGAAAGGGGTGTGGCGACCTAGTGAAGTGGTCAGGTTGTCAACCTCCAAGTGGCAGGTCCAGAGTTCAAATCCCAGTGTTGACGGAAAATTTGAAAATCCTTCCTGTGTTACGGTTAACTGTCTCTTGCAATTGGTTGGGATAAGATACCTGTAATCTGTGTTACACCAGCATGACTGGCAGGTCACATGGCATTTGTGTAATGGTCACATGACATTGTCCT